AGCCCGGCGGGGGCAGCGCCCTCCCTCCGGCCCGGGTCGGCCCGGGCGGGCTGCGGCCCCCGCGGGGCGGGAAGCGCCGCGGGCCGGCTCCTGCAGCGTTGCCGTTCGGAAGGGGCGATGGGGCGAACGGCCGCTCCCGTCAGCGACCTGGACGAGCAGGCTTCTTCTCCAGGTCTCACCCTCAGAGGAAATCCCCCCCACACACACACACACGTTCGCGGTGAGGGCGGTCCGGCGCTGGAGCCCGGTGGCCCGGAGAGGCTGAGGCGCCTCCGTCCCTGCGGGTGGCCCGGAGCCGTCTGGAGCAGCCCGGAGCAGCCCGCGGTGACGGCCGGACCCTTCCGGCCGCCTTCCCTCTCTCCCTTGGACCGCCGGTGCGTTCCCTCAGGTGGACGGGGACGAAACGGGCCCTCAGCTGCGGGTGCTGACAGCTCCGGGAACTGAAGCTGCTGGATTCCACACCCCAGACCGCTCGGAAAAGCGTCTGTCAAGATTACTTCAACCGGGAAGGTGGTTTGGTTTTTTTCTCTTCTTATTTAAAGACACTACCTTTCTGGGCAAGGGATCTCGTGTCGGGCGTTTTGTGGTGCTGCCCGAGACCGCTGCCATATAGGAGGAATCCTTCACCCCAACAGTTTTTGGAGAGATGGTCACAGAGGTACCTCCCTCCCCTTTTTGCAAGATTGGCACACAAGTAGTGACTAATAGAGTCTCTTCTTCCCTAAATAAACATCTACTTTTTCCAGAACGAACCCCCACACACGACGTCAAAAGCCTCTGCACCCACATGCCATCTAAGAGTAAATCCAGCAACGGTAATAAACAGAGTCCAGCTTCAGTTAACACCTGCCGGTACTTCATGCCTTATTCTGACAGGATTAAAAAAAATGTGAAAAATTTGCTGGGCATCAAAAATCTGGAGTACATTTCAGTGCTGGGAGCAGCAATTTTTCAGTGGAACACAAAGCTTTTTTGGAATCCAGAGCACTCCATAAATGCCACTTTATTTTATTTATTTCATAAAAAAATAAATCGAAACAACTACCTTAGCAGACAAGCTGTTAAGTGAAAACACTTGCATTTACTATAGCAGATCAGCTACAGTTAGGCACTGGCATCTTTCCTGCAGGTACTTCTTAAACATGACAATAGAAAAGCAAGTTAAAATCACGGAATAATTTGGGTTGGAAGGGACCTCAGGAGCGTATCTAGTCCAATCCTCTACCTGAGGCACAGCTAACTTTGATGTTAGATCAGATTGCTCCTTTATTTTGGCTAAGTTACTTATATATATGTATAAAACCATATGCATACCTATATGCTTTATACCTATAAAACCCAGCGATGATTTCTTCAGTTCGTACCTTGGATGACTTTGAAAATAGAATGTGTTGCATAACTTTATGTATTCACATTAACTGGAAGCGTTATTTCAGAGCAAGGTATTTTTCTCCTTATTCTTTCCAGGCATTTGGAATTTCAGAGCCACAAATGCAAATTTTGGGGTCCTAGAAAATGTTCCCTTGAAACCTTTTTACAGATCCTTAAAAATAACACAGGAATCTTAGAGAAAATCAATGTACAAACCAGTCAGAGCTATCATATCTATAAACCTTTGCATGTTCATTATTTGGGAAAAGATAATACTGCTTCCGATAATTAAACAATATCCTAGCCATCACCTCTAAAGCAGCACAGGAGTCAGATGAAGGCACATGTCTTTAAAAACATTACTTAGGTGAGAGCATAAACGAAAAGTACATTGTGGAAAGAACTCGTGGCCTCAGCTTTAACCTCCAAATAATACTTTGAAGGCAAAAATCTCACCCTCGCTTTGCTCATAATATGCTGTGCATTCCATATTGCTAAAAATACATTAAAAAATCAGGTGTGGAATAGAGATAAGCAAAACATGTTCCATTTTCAGAAAGCAGTGCCATGCAACACTCATTTGCTAATTGCCATGCAGCCCAAGTCTAAGCTTTACTTTCAGAAATGCTCCTTTGCCACTCCAGCTCCTGTTCTGCACCTGAGCGGCAAAATTCACCCAGCCTTGCTGCTCTGTAACAGTCACTTCAGTGCCCAAATACTTCTTATTTCGTCTTCTCTTCCAGTTATGTAAAGGCAACTGCAGAGATACCACTGTACTCCGGCCCCAGTCCTTCTAACATTTATGCTTCTGCTTTGCTGTATACTTTGTCTGCAGTCCCACTGACGTTAATCGTGTGGCTTAGTGGGTCCCACCAGACCTGGCAGAATTTCAGCTGATTTTTGCCTTTTATTCTGGATGGTTTTTTCAGCAGGACTGAAACCAGGTTAAGAAAATTGAGCCTGGTTAGTGGAGTTCTTCCTTAAAAGCAGGCAAAAAGGATTTTTTTGTACTCAGCTAGACTCCCTACGACTCTAGTCCCAGCACTGATGGTCAGACAGTTCTGATTCTTGTAATACCTGTGCTTAGGCCAAATTTTCATCTGAACAGTATTTTATCTCCAGGAGGCAGCCACAGATACTTAGGGAAGGATAATGACAAGACATTGAGAGCGCCCCTTCCCCAAACTGTCTGCATTCATATTAAATAAGAATGACTGAATTACTGTACCTCTTAGTTAGCCAGCCATAGCTCTCATTTGGCATGTACAAATGCTGAGGAAGACAATTTCTGAGTGAGAGAATTTATCATCTGAAATACAGACAGTCATGCACAACAGACTTCTGCTGCAGACATAAGCCTGCATTGCAGAGGCAGAAGCAGAATTTGGCCCGTATTTTCAAAAGGTTGTAGTTCTGGCTTTAGGCTTGTGCCTTCTTATCTAAGAAGAAGAAAAGCAAGAGTTCATGTAATTGCTCAATTTCCAGCTGATGTTTGTTAATTATACATAGCATTTTTATAGCTTTGCCCACTGAAGGGGCTTACAGTTCTATGCTTTCTCCTTCAACTAAAAAAGTGTTAGCAATTCCACTTCAAGGGAGAACAACAAGGTGGCTGAAGCAGCATATGTGCTGAATACCCCCCACTCCTCTGGGACCACTGTTTTTGGAGGGCCATGGCTGGCATTGCCAAGGAGGAGCTGGGAGCAGAGTCCAGGTTGCCTGACGCCCATCCTCTGCATTCGTCAGAAGGCTGGTCTGTTATAATGTAATTACGGCAGGCTGATTTGATTCCTGCATTTCACATCATGGCAAGACTACATAAAGAGTTATTACCTTCTTCATTAGGAATCACTCTCATTGTCGAAGTATTTATTCTAAGCAAGCACGGTTTGCCAGGGGTCTTCAGGGAGCACCATCCACAAAGCCCCAGGAGCCCTGTCTTCCCTCCCTGTGTCAGGTAGGAACAGCATCTCTGCTGAAGCTGCAGTCCCAGTGCTAAGGCCTTGCCACCATGATCATGTCTAATCTATGCATGGTAAATCCCAAGTGTGACTGTGATTATGCAAGTCCTCTGACTATGTTATACCTGGAAAAACCTACTTTCATTGTATGTTGTTTGGACTGTCATTTGTTCAGCATGTAGCAGAGTGGTGTCCCAGCTTGTTCCTGGGCCCTTAGATCCTACAGATTAGAGCTAATGACACACTGGTAGAGTTATTACAGAACCTACATGTAGGCAAGCCCAAAGCTCTCACTAAAAATTGCAGGCAAGCCACATCAACCTCCTGCAGCTCCTGTGATGTTGCTTCTGATCAGCCTCCATGCTAACAACGCTCTCCCCAGTTACCTCTGACACTCCTTCACATTTATCTTTTTCCACCGCTGCAGCCAGACCTGTTATTTTTTCTTTTTATAATTAATTTTACTGCTGTCATTTCCTGCCCTTTCTTGTATCCTGAGACATGGGAAGTCCCAAATGACTGACATTTAAAAAACAAAAACAATGAAAACAACATTTGCCCTGGCTCAATCATTCTTTGCAACTTCTAAATGCAAGAAAACTTTGTGCCAGTTCACCTGCTGATAAAGTTCTGTCTCCAGTGGGATACTTGATTTTCCTTTTCATTGCATCCTGTCAATATACTTCCAGCACAGTCTATAGTGTTAATTAAGTGTCATTTCAAAAGACTGTTCAGACTGGCAGCATTGTTTTGATTCGGCAGGCCTGGGGGATTGAAATGGCTAGCCAGCTAAATGTAATAGAAACGTGGATATTTTAAGTCACAGTCTAAATTTTTTCCTTTTTTGAGAAGTTTGAATGACAGAGAAGTATTTCTTAATGCCTCACTAGCATTAGTGCTGCTTAGGCACGAGGATTATTGGGCTAATCTTGGGGACAGAGGAACAAGGTGCAGGGAGGTAATGGAGGCTGTATGATCATAATTGCCCCATCTCCCCACATCATCCCATGTGCAACTGTGCCTACTCTGATATGCAATGCTGGGCATCTTGGCAGATAGATTTCCTGAAATCCCACCTAATCCTACCTAATTTCCCCTCCTGCTTTCAGAGCAGCCTCCCATACAGTCAGCTTCTACTCAGACTGCAGCGGAGGGCTGGAGATTCATTGGAGCCAGGAAGAGTCTTTCCTCTGACTTTGGTAGGGAGTATCTAAACCACCTAGCAAAAACTCAGCAAACCTTTGATGCGTTGTTCCCTTTTCTTTTGAGAATGGTCAGCAGGGAACAATAGTTTGGCAGACAGGATCCTAGACTTAAACATGGAAGATTTAGACTGAAATGCCATCACAGCCAGATTCCAAATTACTTGAAGGCAAAATAGCTGTGCTTCAGTTTCTTCTCTGTGAACAGAGATAATTATTCCCTGCCCCACAGAATGTGTAAGAATAAAATCCATCACGGATTTTATACACTTTAATAATAAGTACAAAAGTGTAGGCACTAAAATAGACCAGATTAATTTAATTTTGGTGAAAGTTTAATTGCACAGCACTGGAAACACCTGAGAGCATGTCTAAGTAGTAGCATAACTGCAGCAGTGTTGAGGATGAAGTATGTTTTCCAGCGTAGGTAGAGACATGAGAATGGGAAACAAAAGAAGGAAAGGGAAAACACCTTGTATAGAAAAGAAAGAGGAGAAAGGACAAATGAAAGCAGAGAATAGGTTGGAAATGGAAGATGAAGTGATGTATTTTCCAGGCTGCAGGGCAAAATTCAAATATTTTAGAATACAAATGTATCAATTTGATGTATCAAATTTCATCATTCTTGCATAGATCTTACAGCCAGCTTCTGAATTTGTATGAAACAAGGTTGTCTAACTGATGTCCTGAGAGAATTTTGATTTTATTGGAGAAATTACAGAAAGCAGCTATACACCTTTCCTGCTGCTGAACTATGAACACTTGGCCCAAGGTGCAGGTATGCCTGCTGCTGTGGAGCACTGACAGGCCAAGTCAGGAGAAGCCCAAGGCTGCTCAGGCAGAGTCAGAGAGGCGAGTATAACCTGTAGGTTTTTCTGAAATTAAGAGCTAAGGACAGTGCTACTCATTGCTCTCTGTAGCTAGTATTTTGTAACTCTTAATTATTTTCATCTTGTTGTGTCACTAAGAGCAGTACAGTACACGGATCCCCAAGGAACGCCTGGGGTTACTAGTGCAACCATGGATGTTTCACTGTCCGTCACGCAATTTTGCTGAAGACTGAGAAAGCCACTGGTGCTTTGAGTAATAAAATAAAAGCAGCCTCTTGCAACACGCCAGGTGTAATACAATTTATGACTAACACATTTTTTTGGCCAGGGCTCTGACAGCCATGCCACAGTTCAAGCAAAAACCACACAGCCAGCCGCCAGGACCAGCAGGGTACTGATGAGCAGGTGCCAATTAAGGCGCCCACCCACCCACCTGCCCCTCCCGCAGCTGGGCGTCTCCTCAGCCCCTCTACTTGTCGTTTAATCACACACGTCGCTCTAAAACACGCGAATCCGGGGTGTGTGTGGGGGGGTGTTCCCTGGCCGTTCCTTTCAAGGTAAGATGGCGGCACAGCCAGGTGAGCGGCAGACAACGGCGCGCGCCGGCTCCCGCCGCCTCCGAC